CTCATGATAAGAAAAATGAGAGTGCACTAGGCAGCATAAGGAGAGATTTATGGAGATGCAGATTATGTTGCCGAGATTAGAGAACTTTAACGGAAAGACTATGGTTGCTTTCTTTGAAACAAAGTAGACATAGGGGAAATCTAATAGAAGTGATTAAAATGATAATGGGATCTAGACAGAGTGGACAAGGAGCCTAATTCCCTTGGATGAGGGGTCCAGGTCAAGGTGTATAGATACAGAGTAAAAGATAGGAGGTTTAGAGGAGATTCAACAGGAAATCTTTTCATTCAGAAGGTGACAGCCATCTGGCACTCAGTGCCCGAAATGGTGGTAGAGATACAAATCCTCAAAACGTTCCAGAGATAGTAGGAACTGCAGATGCTGGAGAATCTGAGATAACAAGGTGTAGAGCTGGATGAACACAGCAGGCCAAGCAGCCTCAGAGGAGCAGGAAAGCTGACGTTTCGGGACTAGACCCTTCTTCAGAAAATCAGAAATTCTCTGAAGAAGGGTCTAGGCCCGAAACGTCAGCTTTCCTGCTCGGCCTGCTGTGTTCATCCAGCTCTACACCTTGTTATTTCTGTTTCCTCAAAACGTTTAATGGAATTTCCACATAGACCTCTATCGGCCCACTGATCTACACTTGGATATTCACTTGAAATGCTGTAACCTACAAAGTTCTGGACCAAAAACTGGAAAATGGGATTAGGTTAGATATGCACTTGTCAGCTGGTGCAGAAATGGACTGAATGGCCTCCTCCTGTGCTGCATATTTTTACGGTTCTGTAAAGATACCCGGGTAAAGCCTTCCAGTCCTGCTTATGCACAAGTATAAATAATGCTGAAGAGTGCAAAACTGCTCTGCGAGTTTAGCGCACTTATAGAATTCCCCCTACAGTTCAGGTATCTGCACACACTGCTCACATTCGGGAAGACAACCAGAATCTGAACTATGCCTTGAAGTTAAACTAATCACCACCATGCAGAGTGGACTTTACATCCTGCAGTCTCAGAATGACATAGAGAGAACCAGCTGCAGACTCTCTTTCACCATACGTATAATCTGTATCATTTGGAAATATCCCTCAGCTTACCCCCCACCCCCACCAGCCAGAAGTGACTGAAATACTACACAGTGGATCAGGTTACTGAGAAAAGTGTATCTCTCCCTGGAACAAGACCGGAAGCAGAAAGTAGCCTGCCCTTGACTTTTAAAACTCAAGGGGAGAGAATTGCATGGAACACCCACTCCAACTCTATTTCTCCCATCCAATCAGAAGAACAAATTCACTGTTCAATAATAACCAGACATACATTTCCTATCATTCTTAGATTCTCGGCGCAGTTGATCATCACATCTCCAGCATCAGTTTAATTCTGAACTCCCTCGACGAACCTAACATTTGACCTTACAATGATATTCAAGCAGCATGGAAAATTATAACAACTCTCAGATTTCAGTAGATTTTTTATATGCAATATTTACTGAATTTGCTGATAATACATACTTTAAACACTTTTCACAGAACTTCATTACTTTTGTTTGCATGTATGTTTTGCATCCCATCTTTTCTGTACTATCTCAGCATTGCCTAGCATGCCTCACACGATTTTGAAACTTCTGTTAAGTAGCATCTTTCACACCATTAGGATGATCCAAAGTACTTGTGTCAATGTTACCTGAAGCATAATTACAGTTGTCATATAGTCAAGTCCAGCAAGTTACAGTACAGCAACATCCTAAGTAAAACAAATTAATGATGACCAGTTAATCGATTTCTGCTGGAGTTAAGTGAGGGAGAAAGTTTGCTATAACTTGTTTCCCTTACAAATAGTACATTGGAGTCTGCTGCATCTATCTGAACTGGAGGGCTTAGCGTGATGAGGCTGAACATCCAGTTTAATGGTTCATCTAAAAGATGGCATGTCTAGCAGCGTCTTTTAAAATTGTAGAAAACAAAGCAGCCAAGTTGTAAACAGTAATTTGGGATGCGAACCCAATTTATCCACTCAAATGGCCTGAACCAACTACATTTTAACTGAGAGACCAGAGTCCGAGAAACTGAATCAAGCCGACACTTGCATTTGTTTCACTCAGTTTTCTTCTGCCTTTGGCAGCTCCTTATTCTCACAAATGCATCAACTCAAGACAGAATTAAACTAATACAATGACAGTTTGAGCCCATTCTCAGTTAACCGGGCATTGTTTCATTAAGACTAATGATCATTGCGCAATTAAAATGGTCTTTTGTAGTTGTCAAAATTTTCATTAAGTCCTGCAAGAATGTAAAATTCTCCTTATCAATCTATGTGCATTCTTTGCTTCAAGGTGACCCATGAATACTGCACAATATTCATTAAAAATGCAAGCAGATCAAAAATATAAAGGCACTTTCAGACTAGCCGTTCCAAGTGTTAGCTGTGGCTCAGTGTGGCATTCTCATCTCAGCATCTAAAGATTGTAGACTTTAGTCCTACTCCAGAGATAATGAGCACAAAATCTAGGCTGTCACTTTACGAAAATGATCCAAAGAGTCTAGTCACAGAGTCACACAACATGGAAACAGACCCTTCGGTCCGACCAGTCTATGTCGAACATAACCCAAACTAAATTAGTCCCACCTGCCTGCTCCCGGCCCACATCCCTCCAAACCTCTCTCATTCATACACTTGTCCAAATGTCTTTTAAACATTGCAATGTGAACCATCCTCTGTGTAAAGAATTTGCCCCTCATGTCTTTTTTAAATCTCTCTCCTCTCACCTCAAATATGTGTCCCCGAGACTTAAAATACCCCATCCTAGGGAAAAGGCAACAACAATAAACTCCATCACTATTTTATAAACTTCCATCAAGTCGCCTCTCAACCTGCAATGCTCCAGTGAAAAAGTCCCAGGCTATCCAGCCTTTATTTATAAATCAAACCTTCAATACCCGGCAACAACTTGGTAAATCACTTCTGAAACTCTCTCGAGCTTAATAATATCCTTCCTAAAAGTGGGCAACCAGAACTAGACAGTATTCCAGAAGAGGCCTCACCAATGTCCTCTACAAACTCAACATGACATCCCCACTCCTATATTTAATGTCATAAGTGACAACTCTGGGATGAGATGTTAAACTGAGGTGCCTGTAAAGGATCTCATGGCAGAAGAGCAGGGGAGTAATCATTCTATCCGATCCAACATTTATGCCTCCACCTATCTCCAAAATCAGATTATCTGGTGATTGTCACAATCTTATTTGTTATATGCAAATTAGCTGTTGTATTTCTTACAATACATCAGTCACTACTTCTAAAAATGCTCCATTGGCCGAAGTGCTTTGGGACATCTTGAGATTGTAATAGGCACTGGAGTAATGTTAGGCATTTAACAAAGAAGTAGGATATGGACATTAACCAAGTGCTCCAGGGAGCATATTGCAGGACATGCTGATGGCAAGCAGCTACAAAAGGACTTTGTTGACATCAACAGCTCCGTGTCAGGCTATTCATGACACACACACAACTGCTTCCAATAGATGTCTTTCAGGAATTCGAATCATGCATCATTAAAATTCACTGGCATTGAAAGGAATAGCAAATTACACTACAATAATCTCCCTACAGAGAGACACTTAGAGACGCTTGTTGTACATATTTACACATCAATCAGGCTAGAATTCACGTATCTCAGGATCACACATGTGCTTAATTTCAAGAGTGAAATGAGCTAAAGAAAGCAGAAACTCAAAAAAAAAAGCTTTGGGCCAAAATGCACTCTAATCACTGGGATAGTTTGTGTACCTCAACGATGACCTTTCACATACAGACACACACATTACCATTCAGCAGGTTCTTACTTGAAGGTAAATTTGCCATTCAAATTTCCTCCCTTGTGTCCTGAATCTGTTAACTCAAGTTGGATGTGGAATCTCACGGACACCAGCCAAACTCTAGTCTCTTCCCTCAAGTGACCATTCTTTATGTGTGGGTCATATCAGTGATTAACATTCTATTTGAACCAACGTCACAGATAAAGCCAGTCCTGACGTTACCCAGAACAAAGGAAAGAGGGCAAAACAAATTAGTTTTCCTGTCCCTGCCCTATTACCCAATTCACATACCTGATACTGACATGCAATTTTAAGGCAACACTTGCAGAATTGCTAGCTCCTATTGCCACAGTATTTATATGGTTAGTCGAATTCAGTTTCTGGTCAATAGTAACACCCAGGATGCTCACAGTGGAGGATTCAGCAATAGTAATGCCAACGAACATCAAGGAATAATAATTAGGTTCCTTTTTTTGGAGATGGCCTTTGCCTGATTCCTGTGATGTAAATTGTGTATGCCACTTATCAGCCCAAGCCCCAATTTCATCCAAATCTTGCTGTATATGGACATTGAACACTTTGGCATCTGAGGAGTCACAAATGGTATTGAATATTGTACAATCAAAAGCGAACATCCCCAGTTCTGACCTTATGCTTGAAGGAAGGTCATTGATGATGCAGATAAAGATGGTCAGGCCAAGGACACTAGCATGAGAATCTCCAGTGATGTCCTGAGACTGAGATGACTGACCTTCAAAAACCATCTTCCTTCGTCCTAAGTATGACATCAAGCAGCACTGACTTCCCCCCCAGATTCCAAGTGAATCCACTTCTGTTAGGGTTCCTTGATACTAAGTGAAATGCTGTCACGATGTCAAGGGCAGGCATTCTCAATTTGCATTTACAGATACATGCACTCAGTCTGGTATGGTGCGATTTAAGACACAACCTTCTTGAATCACAAAGAGCCAGATGAGGAACCTATTAAATGATCCTGCTCCGGCAAGACCCATTCAAGTGGGCACGCGGGCAAGGTAAGAGGAAGAAATTATACAGAAACCATGAGATAATACACAAACTCTTTTAGGTACCAATTATAAGCGTGATTTTCCGCAGGGATGAAACGACATCACCGGTGTTACCGCCTCTCTCCTCCCACCAGCCCCGCGGTGTCGCCGTTCTCACCTTCCGGCGCTTCCCTGTCACTGATGTGCTGCAGATTGGTTCCGGGGCTGGGCTCGGGTTCCCGGAGCTCCGCCTCCACTCGGTAAGCGTCGATCCGCTCCTTCTGCTGCTGCCGCTCCTGGCCCCGGAGCCCGCCGCGGCCTGACAGCGTGGGGCTTGCCCCGGGGGACACGCAACAGGATAAGGTGTTTCCCATCGTCTCTGAAAATGAGTGAAACTTTTAGCCCCCGTCCCCAGGACTCCTGCGGCCTAAGAGCGGGTTTTCCTTCAGAGAGGGAAAGGAAGGGAAGGGGAGGGGAAAGAAGGAGGAGGAGGGGGAGCGCTCACGCTCGACGTCGCCGTCTCTCAGGTGAGGAAGGGGATCTTCGTTCTCCTCCTCTGGTGAATGGCAACCTCTCCCAACGGCACCTGGATGCCTTCGAATCCCCGCCTCAGCCCTGCGGCCTTAGCTTCATTTGGCCGCGCGGAATTTCTCCGCCATTTTGCGCCGCGCCTGGACCCCGGTCTCCGGCATGGCAACGGGGTCCGCCCAGCGGAAGCCCCGCCCCGTCCCTGATTGGATACCGTTAAGCCAATCGATCACCATCGCCATCTGCATTGGTGGTGGTGGGCATCAATCACCCATGCGCAACCCCCATTGGTCGAGAGCAATGTCAATCACCTGCTCTTATTGTTGCGAATTAAAGGCGCTTCCCCTCCCCTTTAAGTCCACCCACTTTTTTTTTCTTGGCAAAATTTCAAAGTGTCATAGACAGCTGTTCATGACACGCGCACACACTCTTGTACAGAAAAGCCTGGCAGCTTTTCCCTGGCTGAATTGGGTGGGGACGTTTTGCTGTTGTGAAATGTCCATTGAATTGGACATGTTAATGTTTTCTGATCTCCAGATGAACCTTGCACCTTGTTTATCCTGAGACACTGCCATAAAACCTATTTGATGTTCATACTATATACTCACTCTACAGATAGAGAAAATTAGAAAACAGTTTCCAACTGCTCCCGTGTGATGGCTTCTGTTTGTTTTTCAATATAAATTTAAACTTAAAACAGTATGTTCAAAAATAATATCCAGAACCTACATATTTCCACTCTTTTTAACTTTCTCAGTCCATTGTCTCCACTTTTTAAATGAAAATCCCACATCCTCTTCCAAACCCACTAACTCCTCCCTCCTGAACAATTCCACAAGCACTGGTATCCCACATCCAAGTGACTGTGCTCATTTGTATTTTAACAATGAGGCTGTTCAATATCAGGGTCTTCAGGGTTGAATTTGGTTCACTCCTTTCTTAATGTGCATCATGCTGGATAGCAATGAGGGGTGTGATCCAATGACGTCACCTGTTAAAGCCCATTCTTATGAGTAATATCAAATCACTCTTTACTATTACTGCCATCTCTATTGGTTAAGTGGTCCCAGCCTCCACAGCTTAGTGACTTCAAGGCTGCTTCCTTGAATACGATGTCTATTGCCTAGCAAGAAAAGAAGCATTACTTGATTTAACTCTGGGAAATTAAGTTCAGCAAAGAGAACTGACATGAGAGTAGGAGAACAGTTGGGAAATAGCAATTGTGACTGTTAGAATGCAAAGGATAATGTGCAGTTAAAGATAAAGATGTTGGTTTTGTAAAGGCAAAGTTTTGTGAGATAAGATAAAACAAACTTAACTTGGCAGAAAGCTTAAGAAACAGAGAAGTCACAGAATCCTTACAGCATTGAAGTAGGCCATTCAGCCCATCGAGTCTACACCAACCCTCCATAGAGCATCCCATCCAGACTCACCCCTTAGCCTATCCTTGCATTTCCCACCCTAGACACTATGGGAAATTTAGCATAGCCAATCCACCTAAACTGCACATCTTTGGACTGTGGGAGGAAACCCAAGTACCTGGAGGAAACCCACACAGACAGAGGGAAAATGTGCAAAATCCACACAGACGGTCGCTTGAGGCTGGGATTGAACTTGGGTCCCTGGTGCAGTGAAGCAGCAGTGCTAACCACTGAGCTACCCTGCTGCCCTCAAAACATGCAGGGATTTTCAGCTTGGAGATGGATAAAATAAATATATATTTTCCTCTGCTAAATTATTGTGCACAAACTAAAGGGTATAAAAGATAACATAAACTGGAGCTAACAATACTAAAAAAATAAATTTCCAGGAAGGGGATGGGGAGAGATATAGTTTTATTTTAATACAAAGCATTACTGGAGTGAGAAATACTTTGCTTCAGGAAGATGTTGAGCCACAACCATTGCATCTTTAAAGGGAAAACTTAATAAATAGTTGAAACAGAGGAAGATAGCAGGTTTATTGGTAGAGGGGAAGAGTGGAGCAACCAGATGTAGCAAACCCACTATTCATTAAGATGAATCAGCAAAGGAATTATTGAGGCAATATGGATGTTATCATGTATTCTTACTCAAATTGAGGACTGGAGTCCAATTTCCTAATTCATATTGAAGAATATGCAAAAATACAAATGCAGAGTTGATTTGTCATAGAAATAAATAATATTTGTAATGTGCCTTTCACAACTTCAGGCTATCCCAAAGTGCTTTTCAGCCAGAAAGAATCCCCCCACCCCACTCCTCAAATATTCAAAACTCTGCCTTTGCATTAGCTTCTCTTTACTAACATGGTTGTAGGGTCTTTGTGTAAAGAGTTGTCACCTGTCTGGTTTTCAGTCTGTTGTATGAGAATGCCTTGTTTTGTTTCCACATATAACTCAATTTTAATTTGGTTTTCTGGGACTGTAAAGTGTCTCACCCAAGGAGGAAGGTAGTGACAGCTTTATATCATGCCCTCCTTAGCCATGACACGTGGTAACACTTTGTTTTAACAGATTGTGGTTTTAGGTCCCACTTCAGAGGCCTGAGCAGAACTGCATAAGAGGAGCCATTTTTAAACAATATGTCCTTATTTAGCGCCTTTACAATAATAAAATGTCCCAAGGCACTTCACAGAAACATCACAAGACAAAGTTTGACACTGAGCCATATAAGCATATGTTAGGTCTTGTTGTGCAATTTATCAGGTGGGACCAAGGCCGCTTTCTCTGCTCTCTTCTGAGTGCAACATATTTTGAAGATGAGCTGGGAGTTCTCCCTAGGGTCCTGGCCAATACTTATCCCTCAATCAGCATAACAAGAACAGACAGCCAGGTAGTTATTGTACTATTGTTTGTTAGAACTTGCTGTGCGGAAATTGGCTGCTATGCTTCCTATATTATAACAACAGCTTGCATTTATAAAATGCCTTTAAGGTAGTAAATGAAACATGACATTTCTCTAGAGCATTATCAAGCAACATTTAATGCTGAGCCATCTGAGGTGATATTAGGACAACTGAATATAAGCTTTACTAATGAGCAAATTAGTTTTGAAGGAGGGTTGGTGCCAGGAAAACCATGATGTTTACAGAGGGAATTCCAGTGTAGGCAGCCAAAGGCATGTCCATCATTTGTGTAACAATTAAAATCAGAGGTGCACAACAGGCCAGAATTAGAGGAGCGCAGAGATTTTGGAGGATTGCAGGGCTGGAGGAGGTTAGGGTGCGAGGAGAAGGGTTAAGCTGAAGAGGGATTTGAAATTCAAGCTGTTGCAGGGTAATAAGCCAAAGTAGGTCAACAAGCACAGTGGTGAAGGTGTGAAATAGGACTTGCTGCAAGGAAGAAGATGAGCGGCAGAGTTTTGGATGAACTCAAGTTTAAGGAGGTTGATATCAGGAGGTTGGCAACTAGAAGATTGGTGAAATGTTGGTAAAAGCTCAAAAACACCAGGTGAGACAATATTTTAATGGAATAGACAAATCTTAGTGTATCCGAATACAGAGGCATGCAATGTAATCCGCCTGCAAATATGCACTGAATCCACAACTTCAAAAGTAAATCTGTTCTCCCTCCTGACCCTCCCCAAAGAATCTTAAATTTCCCATCAATACATCTCCAAAAATAAGTGATAAGTATATCGTTGTGGCACAGAAGAACATAATTTGGTGTAAATGTTTCGTAAAGACTTGAGATCATGAAAGGTGCTATATTGAAAGTCTTTTTCTAAAAGCCCTAAAATGCTTGGTATTGCAGGAGGTTGTGGTAGGGGCGGAGGGGCGTACAGGTACTAAGAATTTTAAAGAAGAGATCACAGAACATAAATTGCGTAGGAGTTTCCTTAATTCATTAATACGATTTGTCGTTTAATAGCTGGGCTAGCTATTTATTGTCCATTTCTAATCGGTCCCTGAACTAAGTGGCTGGCCAAGGCCGTTTCAATGAGTAATTAAGAGTCAACCACATTGCCATGGATCTGTAGCCACATGTAGACCAGATCAGGTTAGGGCAGCAGCTTTCCTTCCCTAAATTAGTGAATTAGCTGAATTCTTTTTTACAACAGTTGACAATGGTTATAATTAAGCTTTTAATTCCAAATTTTCTTTTTGCTGAATTCAAATTTCATCATTTGACATGATGGGGTTTGTACCCATGTTCCCAGAGCATTAGGCTGGGTCTCTGGATTGCTCGTCATAGAGTTATATATCATGGAAACAGACCCTTCGGTCCAACCAGTCCATGCCAACCATGTTGCCAAACTAAACTAGTCCCACCTGCCTGCTCCTGCCCCATATCCCTCCAAACCTCTCCTATTCATGTACTTATCTAAATGTATTTTAAACATTATAACTTTACCCGCATCCACCACTTCATCAGGAAGTTCATTCCACACACGAACCAACCTCTGTGTACAAAATTTACCGCTCATGTCATTTTTAAATCTCTCTCCTCTGTTCTTGAAAATATGCCCCCTAGTCTTGAAATCCCCCATCCTAGGGAAAAGACACCTTCCATTAACTGTATCTATACCCCTCATGATTTTATAAACCTCTATAAGATGACCTCTCAACTTCTGAAGTTCCAGTGAAAAAAGTCCCAGCCAATCCGGCCTTTCTTTACAACTCAAACCTTCCATACCTGGCAACATCACAGTATATCTCTTCTGAACCCTTCCTATCTTAATAATATCCTTCCTATAACACTACTACTGCACCATCACCTCCCCTAAATATAAAGGGAGATTATGAGCTAATAGCAAGACAGAGCCTCACCCCAGTGAGCAGGTTGTGTTTGTTCTCCATGATTAAAGAGGAAGACGGCTACTGGTAAACTCCCTCCCTCCTACTTCAGCAGCTGCCTGGCCTCCCCTTTCCTTTTGGCCCCCGCCACTGACTGTGGAGCTGCGTCAAATCCCATGTCGGGGAATAATGGAACAAGTGTAGAAACAAAGGGTGCAAACAGTCACAACAGAATGGCAAGAATGGCAAAGCAGAAACTGTTGTTACTGGAAGATTTTATCCTGCTGTAGCCATTTGCATTATTTTGCTGTGTTCTGCTATTTCCTATGTCTCACTACAAAACTTTTTGGCGTTTCAGAGAAACAGAGCATATGTTGTGTTATGATGAAAGGGATGTTATTGACAGTCTGTGATAGGAAACGTGTTGCAGCGAGGTTACACTTGGGGAAGAGGCACTATCTTTAAAACTGTTAGTGTAATTATGGAAGAATAGAAATATGTACTTAATTATAGAAATTGCAGATAGGTTCCTGTAAAGTAAAATCCATTAATTCTTTATAATTCAAGTTGTCAATGTGCCGTCATTTCTAAACAATGTAAGACATAGTTAGCTGTAGACCATATAAATCAATTATTTTCTTGAAAAGTCATCAACCGGCAACATTAACTCTTTCTCTCTCCACAGATTCTGCCAGACCTGCTGAATATTTCCAGCAATTTTAGTTTACGTTTCACAATTATTATTTTTTATTCTATTTTATTTTAACTGTATTTGTGACAACCTCATGCTTCAGGGATCCCAAAACAGCCCCAGAATCACCTGGAGCACTGCACTATTCAATGTGTTGTCTTTTGAAGGAGGCATTAAGCCAAGCTTTGTCCCCACACCAAGGTGAGGGAGTTGCCCTCCATTACTAAAGCAGATAAGGCAGCCACAGTCATGTTGCTGTTTGTGATGGCTTGTTGTGTGCAAATTAGCTGCAGCGTTTTCTAAATTATAGTGGTGTCTGCACTTCTAAAGTATTCTAGTGTGTTTTGTTCATGGGATAGTGGCATTGCTGGCAAGGCCAACATTTGCTGCCCATCTGTAGCTGTCCATGAGAATGTGGGATGCCTCCTTCTTGAACTGCTGCAGACCTTGGGCTGTAGCTACATCCACAGTGCGGTTAGGAAGGGAGTCCCAGGAGTTTGACCCATTGACACCAAAGGAACGGTGATAAATTTCCAAATTAGCACGACGTGAGATTGGGAGGGGAACTTGCAGGAGGTGGCCCTTGTTCTTCCGAGTGGGAGAGGTAGCGGGTTCGAAAGGTGCTGCCCAACAAAATTTGGGAGGTAAACTTTGGTGGGTGGCATGCCAAACAAGTGAGCTGCTTTGTCCTGCACAGTGTTGATTTTCTTACGTGTTGTTGGAACTGCACTCATCACACAAGTGATTGTGAAACACTTTAGGGTAGCCTGACACTGTGAAAGACCCTGTACAAATGCCTGTCTTTCTTTCTTAGTTTTACAGTGTGCATGATATTCAGGACTGGAACATAATGGCTTTGCTGCCGTACGATGGTGCCATGATTCCTGGACTCCGGAAGTTCCATGAACCATCAGCAACCTTTCACTATGCCAAGCGAGACATAGTGATCAGACAGAATTGGAATCAGCTCGGTGTAGCAGCTGTAGTGTGGGATGCAGTAAGTAACAGACGAGTACTCCGTATATGGATGAGCTTCTTAAGGCCACAACCAAGGAAACCTGGTTTAGTATCTTATTTGGCAGGTTATTTTAACAAGCATACAAACAAGAAGCAGGAATAGGTCAAGCACCTCAAGCTTGCTATACCATTCAATAAGATCGTGGCTCATCTGTTTGTACCTCATATCCTCACTCCTGCCTACCCCTAATAACATTTCAACCCCTTGCTTAGAAATAATCTATCGACTTCTGCCTGAAAAATATTCAAGGATTCTGCTTTCACTATCTTCACGGGAAGAGAGTCCTAAAACCTCACAGAGGAAACATTTTGCCTCATTGCTATTTTAAATGGGCTATCTCTGAGCTTTAAATAGTGATGGAGTGAGACTAAGCGTACCGGTAGAAAAAAAAACTGCAATAATAAGAAGGCGTCAGAGAAAGGGTGAAAACTTTAAAACAGGTATGGAATTGAGGTTCAACATGAAATAGTGAAGAACATGAATGAAAACTTCCTCCAAGTATTCATAAGGGAAATTAAAAAAATGCTGGAAAAATTCAGACTGTCAGGCAGCATCAGCTCTCCGCAGATGCTGCCTGACGTGTTGAGCATTTCCAGCATCTTCTGTTTTTAATTGACAAAGGAAATCGAGGCTAAAAGAGGTCTTTCCTTCTGTGTTTCAGGCCATTGTACTTTGCACATACCTTGAACTGGGAACAATCCAGCTACAAGACCGCACTGTGATAGAACTGGGAGCGGGTACCGGATTAGTTGGAATAGTTGCAGCATTGCTAGGTAGGTAGTGGGTTACCATTATTTGTTATACCCATGTTACTGAAACCACATCTCATGTTATTGTACAAAGATGTGCATTAAAGTATAAACCGTTGACTCCTTTCTGCAGGGAGGAATTGAGCAAATGTTTAGAGTGTCCTTAAGTTGACTTTAAGTTTAAATGATTATGAAGTAGGAAATTTCCGACATGAGACAATGTGCAGACTGACAGCTTGCTAGGCAAAGACGAGTTACAAAGATTAACATTTCTCTAGCACATCTGATGATCTCAAGATCAGCCAAAGTGCTTTACAACCAGGACAGAAGTCACACAACACGAGGTTATAGTCCAACAAGTTTGTTTGAAATCACAAGCTTTCAGAGTGCTGCTCCTTTGTCAGATGCAGTAAGGGCTGCACTGTGAAAGCTTGTGATTCCAAATAAACCTGTTGGACTATAACCTGGTGTCGTGAGACTTCTGACCTTATCCACCCCAGTCCAAAGCTGGCACCTCCACATCATTAGAAGCAATGGAGCACTTGTTGAAGTGCCGTAACTGTTGCTAAGTAGGAAACGCCACAAACAATCTGTTCATAGCCAGAAACATAACGGTCAATGTGTTTTAGTGATATTGGTTGGGTGCTGAGCATTGGCTAGGATACCGAAGTCTCTGGCAGTCATTCAGTACTGTGCTCAGTTGTCATTTTCTCATTACCTTTTAGTTGAGCCATCAGTCACTTTCCCTCCTGACTTGCTCAGTATAATTTCCCCTTGCCACCTTGCCCCACTTCCATCCCCTCCCTTAATGGTGAGTCACCTTGGGGCGTTTGGTTAGAATCAAGGTTTTTAAATAGCAGTAAGCTGGTGCATTGGTGGGTGTTTGCTTGTGGAAGGAAAAGAAATGTTTAATTTCACACCCTTCACCTGAAAACGAACGACATACTTTGAAGACAAAAATTTTTGTTTTCCTCGTTTGTCTTAAAATAGGTGCCGACGTAACAGTCACTGACAGGGAGGTGGCGTTACAGTTCCTCGAGTCTAATCTCCAAGAAAACATTCCCCCTGACCTGCGGACCAAGGCACGAGCCAGGGAGCTGAACTGGGGGGTGAACCTAGACCAGTTCGACCCGGGCAGCTACGATGTGGTCCTTGGGGCAGACGTGGTTTACCTGGAGGAGGCATTCCCGGCCCTGCTGGAGACGTTAGAATATCTCAGCTCTGAGGAGACTACAATCCTGCTGTCCTGCCGCATCCGTTACGAGCGAGACCAGAACTTCTTGCAGATGCTTGGGAGTCGCTTCGTGGTGGAGAAAGTCCACTACGACACTGAGAAAGATGTTCATGTTTACAAGGCACAGAAGAGAATGGCAAAGGAAGATCTTTAACACCAGAATCTAGCCACTGTTGAAGGTCCACATAGGAAGAGGAGGCCATTCTTAGTTTTAAAATTTTCAATCGAGACCGCCTCCTCTCACTCCCCACTCCTCCACCCAACCTCCACATGGTTTAAGAGCGACAGAGTTTTGTACTTCCACTGGCTGTTTGTGTGAAGAAGTACTTTTTGACATTACCCTTGAATGGTCTAGCTCTAGTTTTAGGCTTATGCCCCCTTGTTCTGGTCTTGCTCACCAGTGGTTTCTCTCTATCGACCCTATCACATCCCTTTTTAATCATCCAAATTAGATCATCTTTCCTACTCAGGGGAATGCAAATCTCATCTATGCAACTTGCCCACACCTAATTGAACCCACTTGGTTTAGTTGTGCCATATCCCTTCAAAGGCCAGTCTGTTCTTCCTGAGGAACAGTTCCTGGAAGTGGAAGAGGCAGTCTGCCTGACCAGCATTCTTCTCAGCTGTAAAGTCATTTCCACCCGTTAGTAATCCAGCATCTTGAGACAAAGGCCTACATTCCATTAGATATTTGCATTCTTTTTTATATGTATCCCTAGCCTTTACTGATTTCTCTCAACTTGGATCCACCAAATCTCACTGATTCTCAACTCTTCCCCAGTTTTTCGCTGTTTAGAAAAAAAGATTCAGGTCTATCTTTCTTAGGTTGAAAGTTAGTGACACCACACTTCTGAGATCTAGTCTCAACTTTTGTGTTCAAGGAGGTCCACGTGAGCAAGTCTAATAAAGACATAGTTATGTTTAAGGTGATGATTTACCTGTGTGGATCTTTTCTTTCAGCGACATTTTATATTTACCTGCTTGAGAAAACAGCTTGGTGATTATCTGTATCACTTCAAAGTAAAAATGTGTAGGCTATCACATCCGAATGCAGATCCAACAGTATATAATCCAGGCTGAAAGATCAGTGCAGTGCTGAAGGAGTGCTGCAGTGGCTGAGATGCCATTATTTAAATAAGATATGAAACTAAGGTCCCATTTGTAAGAAATTGCAAGACACTATTTTGATGTACAACCAAGCTGTTTTTCCTGCAGTCTTCATCGATATTTATCCCCTAACCAACATCATGAACACAGATTATCTCGTCATTTTTCACTGTTGTTTGTGCGACCTGCCTGTGTGCAAATTGACTGCTGTGTTTCCTATGTTACAGGAGTGACTACAGTTCAAAAGTACTTCACTGATTATAAAAGCACTTTGGAATGTCCAGAGTTTATGAAAGGCGTTATATAAATGCAAGTTATTTATTTCAGACAAAACCCTAACCTGCTGTGAGATAGTAGGAACTGCAGATGCTGGAGAATCTGAGATAACAAGGTGTAGAACTGGATGAACAAAGCAGGCCAAGCAGCATCAGAGGAGCAGGAAAGCTGACGTTTCGGGTCTGGACCCTTCTTCAGAAATGGGGGAGGAGCACGGGACTCTGGAATACATAGAGAGATCCACTGAGGTCTTTCCGGAGGAAGGAGGGTAACTTCTTCAAGGTAGGCATCCATAGAAGAGGCTTTGCAGTGGGGTTAAAACTCACTCAGAGATAGTAGGGACTGCCGATACTGGAGAATCTAGAGCTGGTCTCTCTATTTATTCCAGAGTCCCCTTCTTCTCCCCCATTTCTGAAGAAGGGTCCAGACCCGAAACGTCAGCTTTCCTGCTCCTCTGATGCTGCCTGGCCTGCTGTGTTCATCCAGCTCCACACCTTGTTATCTAACCTGCTGTGTTTCACTTTGAGAAAAAGTTTGCAATCTGCAACTGTGATGAGGTACCCCTGGTTACAACTGGAGAAAAGTTGTCTGTGGTGCCCATTCATAATGAAGCATGCCCCATTGTGGCTGTATTGACAACAGGGCAGATTGAATTCAGTTATGATAATTAATGATTAAATGTTGCTCTCCTCCAATTCTGGCCTCTTCTGCAATCCCCCATTTCCTTTACCCACCATTGGTGGCTATGCCTTCAGCTGTCTAGGACTAAGCTCTGGAATTTCATTCACAAACCACTCCACCACTTCTCCTTTAAACTCCTCCTTAGATTCTACCTCTTTGACCAAACATTTAACCATCTCACTTTACAACTCCTGTGACTCGGTGCTAAATTCATCTCAAGCAGCTTGAGACATTTCACACTGTTTAAAAACGCTGCATTAAATGAAGTTGTTGCTGTAATGTGTGGCTGACAACCCACTCGTGAGATAGAGGTTGGTGGGCTGTTGATAGTCCCTTAACCCAGCAAGACTCAGAAATCGCAGGAGAGAGGAGGGCAGAAAACTGGACTAGAAAAAGTCAATATTGAAAAGAAAACTTCACATCACACTGGGACTGGTGATGGAATGATTTCATGAGATTTATTATTGTCACATGTACCTAGGTACAGTGAAAAGTTTTGTTTCGTGTGCAGTACAAGGCAGATCGTACCATACAAAGTGCATTAGGGTAATAGAACAGAGCGAAGAACACAATGTAATGGCTGCAGAGAAGTTGCACAGGCGGTGAGATCAACATTAAATTTAAAATTTGAGAGGTCCATTCTAATAACAGCAGGGAAGAAGCTGTTCTTGAATCTAAACTTCTTTATCTTCTGCCTGACGGAAGAGAGCGGATGAGAGTACAATCAGGGTGGGAGGGGTCTTTGATTATGGTGGTTGCTTTCCTGAGGCAGCTGGAAGTATAGATGGAGTCAATGGATGGAAGACTGGTTTGAGTGGGGCTTGAAATTAAGAATAAAAGAGTTACTGTACTGCACTTTATGCCTCACTGCCTCATTCACTTCAAATTGTGAGGTGACTGAACAATTTATGGAGAATGCAGTGAATGACAATTTAAGTAACAGACATATGAAAGGTGACAGCCACAAAGAACGTCAACCATCCCTTCTCTAGGCTCCAGGGCCAACACACACACCCCTAAATCCCAGAGCAATAAAGGCAGGGACAAAACATTCATCTATAGATTCCGTTTCTGAGCTTTGCATGACACTCATAATTAAGACTTATATTAAGCAAGAAACCTGAGGACTTAACAATTAATTACCTAGCTGCAATATTTCCTATTTGCTCCACAGGATTTTCACTGTGCTTGTGTGATTTGATATAATTGATTGATTTATAAGAATGAAATGCTAGCTAGAGGACTCTAATACCATAATACATTCAGGTTCTTTTTTTAAACCTTTCATAATTCCACACAATGATGTGGGTTTGTGACACACTTTCTGCATAAATACTGCTGCACGCTACTATGTTCGGCTGAACAGACTCTGTTTTCTCAGTACAAGGCATTTAAAGTACAGATTAAGAGTCTATTTAGTGTAGCGCTCTTTCTCCCTCAACCTGTGCCTCTCTCTGATCCTCTGTCTCTTTTTCAGAGTTTCTCAACATCCCCGAAAAAGGAAGACATGCAATTTTTGTGATCCCAAAGTACATTGCAGCTAGTGCTTTTGTAGTGTGGTCTCGGTAGCAGGAAAGAATGGCAGTCAATTGGTGCGTAGGAAGCTCCTACAAACTGCAATGTGATCGTTGGAAGGATGCATTTAGATACTGATAAATTTTTTTTAAAAAATGAAATTCCCAGTGACTAACAGGAAGACATTAAACCAAGGCCCAGCAGTCCACCGAGGTAGATGTGTAAGATTCCTTAGTTCAAGCCAGAGTTCTGCCTAGTGCTCTGTGCAGATATTTTCCTAATCAAATTGTTCAGAAATGTTATTACACTCTTCTGAAGCAGTTAGGACTTGAACCCAGGACTCCTGGTTTGGAGGTAGGGGCACTACCACTGTACCACAAGAGTCCCAGTGTTCTGTCCGTCAACCAAAGTCAACATAATCAGATTATCTGATCCTTTATCACACTGGGAGCTAGTGCATTAGTTGGCTGCCCCAGTTCCTCCGTGACTAATAGTGACCGGATGCCAAGAAAGGACTTCTTTGGGCGCAGAAAGCTTTGGAATGCCCTGCCAATGTGGATAGCACTGTAGAAATGCAAACTTTTCTTCCAAGAGAGAATTTAAGGAGGGAAAAAATTGCTATGGGATCAATGCTGCCAATCTGCAAAAAAAATTCAGTCAATCAGCTGTGTACACTGCCTCTCATTTCTTTTATGAAAACCTACGACAGGATTAAATAATTGAGACAGATCTGGGAGTCGATGAGCCTGCCAGAACAAATCAGAGAAATGATTTACTACAAGAAGAATAGATGTGAGGCAGTGTGCATGGCTGAATGCACAGTCCCCATGAATAAGAAATGATGCCTTTGAAATGCACTGAGGTGCCCTGAAACTTCATCTATTTATGTTGCCATTTAATCTGGTTATCCCAAACTAGCTACTTAATCTTGTTTCAACGCAGCAGCATTCTAACACATAAGCAGAATACGCTGTATGCCGGGAATGTGAAATTGAAACAAAGCTGGAAATATTCAACAGATCTGGCAGCATCTACAAAGTTGGCCCCACTCTTTACCTTCAGGTGCCTATCCAGTTCCCATTTGAAAGCCACAATTGAATCTGCTTCCACCACTCTCTCAGGCAGCACACTCCAAATTTCAGCCACGTGCTGCATTGGAAACATTTTTACTCATGTTGCCATTAGTTCTTTTGCCAATCGTCTTAAATCAATGTTGGGGAGACAAAATGCAGACTGGGCAACCGCTTCAGAGAACACCTATGTTCTGTCTACAAAACTGAGCTTCTGGTTGTCTGCCACTTCAACACACTGCCTTGATCCCTGGCCAACATCTCTGTCTCAGGCTTGCTATAGTGCTGAGGAAGGGTCACTGGACCCGAAACGTTAATTCTGTTTTTTCCTTCACAGATGCTGCCAGACCTGCTGAACTTTTCCAGCAACTTTGTTTTTCATCTTGATTTACAGCATCCGCAGTTCTTTTGGTTTTTGTGCAGTGCTCAATATTGAGTTCAGCAATTTTAGGGCCTGAACACTTTCTTCCAACCCCTACACAATGGGTCTTGTCATCACATGGACTGCTACCACAACCAAGACATTGTCACCTACTAATGGTCCCCATTAGTAGCTATTCATTCTCTCAGGCTGACATTTACCCATTCCTTTGTTTGGGCAACTGTTGTCCTCTCTCCCTCTCTCTCTGGACTCCATCTCCACCTATCGTTAACTCCTACCCCTCCCCCACCCCTTCTTTAACACATTTACCAACCTTTCCTAGCCACAATCCGTTCTGAAGAAGGGTCACTGGACCTGAAATGTTACCTGTTTCTCTCCACAGATGCTGCCGGACCTGCTGAGTTTTTCCAGCAATTTTTGTTTGTGTTTCTGATTTCCAGCATCCACAGTTCTTTGATTTTTCTTTAAATCGATGTGGTCTGGTTCTTGAACTTTTCACCATTGGGAACAATTTCTCCCTATCCACCGTGTCTGGACTGTTCATGATTTGAACATCTCTAACAATTCCCCTTGTCTTTCTCTGAAGAACAACCACAGTTTCTGCAATCTCTTTACATAACTCAAGTCCCTTATCCGCATAATCATTCTTGTAAGTAGTTTCTGCACCCTCTCCAAAGATTTAATTCTGTAAATCCCTCCTAAAATGTGGCATCCAGAATTAAACACAATCCTCTCATTTTGGCAATATGTTTTATACAGATTAATCAAAATTCTTTGCTTTTGTGCTCTGTACCTTTATTTATAAAGCCCAGGATTCTGCAACTTCATTAATCACTTTTTCAACCTGCTCTAGCACCTTCAACAATTTGTATATACAGCTGCAGATTGCTCTGT